CTTGATCTTCACTGAAACAATTGATACATCATTGGATCCCTCGTTAGGAAAAATTGTTTTCAGCGGATTTCAAGCTCTGGTTAAATTTTCTCTTGCAGCAGAAACCGGAGAGCTCTGAAATTTAAGGAAATTGCCAGTTTTGGTTGGTTTGGTTCCTGGGTTATAGACACTGCCCAGAGTGTCCCAGGCTGGCTGAGGGAGGAAGGGGCACATCTGGACCCCCAGAGGTTTTGTGGAAGTGGAGCTGTGCTCACTTAGACTTCAGGAGTGCTGAGAAGCAAAGGAGGAGTCCCTGCAATTAGGGAGGATACAAACGAGCAGTGATTAATCATTCTTTGCATTTTCGGGTTTTCTGTTTGTTTGTTTTGGTGCTGTTCTTGATTAGGGTGTTGTTTTTTTTTTTTTAGTTGGGATGGCATTTGTAGTGATGTGTCCTTCATGTGCCCTTTTCAAAGTGCTTTCAGAAAACTCCTTCAGCAGTGTTCACAGCACCTGAATGAAGCTGATCTGTGCACAATATCATTATTATCATTACCTTCATTTAGAAGGAGGAGACTTTATTCTGAGATTAAATGATTTGCCTAAGGCTGAAGGAGTTATTTTTACCTTTTTGGTACCCTAACCTGTTTTCAGATTTATTACAGCAGATCTTTCATGTCTTTGTTCATGTGTGTTGCAGAACAGATGCATAACCTTTTTAAGGAGTTTTCTCTTTTAAACAGCATTATAACATGCAATTGTTTAAATAATGCAGGAAGGGACTTGAGAGAGACAGGAAATTACTTTTCTCATCTTACTCACCCTGAAACGTGGAGAAAATTTGATAACAATTAAATGATCCTAATTATGCCTTTTGGTCACTATCCTAGTATTTCCTGGCACATGTGGAATTATTATCCTTCATAAATATTACAAACAGGCAGAAATCAAGATAACTGAAAAACCCACAGCACCCTAGTTAATTGAACTGCCTTTTGATTCTTATCTGACATAAACACAATGTGTTCATGCCCTTCAAGACAAGATTTATTTTTTTTTAAAGGAACTTGAACAACTCTTCTGTGGTGCCTTCATTTGCTTTGGCACTGTTTGCTTCAAAGTTTCTTTTGCAGTTTCCTTATGCTCCTCTGGTTCAGATAAAGTCATTTACAGCTGGGAAATCTGGAGAAGACTCCATTATTTGGGGCTTTTGAATTTTTTGATTTATTTTTTTTTTTTTAATGAGACAGATATTTTGCAGCAGGGCCAGTGTGTTCTGGGTGAACTCAGCATCACAGACCTCTTGGGTGTAAGGAGGGAAGATCTGGCTGTTGGGAACCTCAGTAGGATCTGGTGGAGAGCGTGGAAGAGACCTGGAATATCCTCTGCTTTGCAGGCTGTTTTCAGCACACGGGCTAAAATGCATCTGGTCATCTTGAAGATGCTGTGTTTCTCCTGGTTGTGCTTGAGTTGTTTCTTTCCAAAAGGAAGGGGAGTGACTGGAACCCAGCAAAGCGTCAGTGGGGTTTGTTCCTCCTCGGTGCTCCCACTGCTTCCAACCCAGCCCCACAAACATCCCTCTGAGGCTTTTAGAGATGATGAGTGGCTGAAAAACCAAACTGTGCCACCTGAAGAGCTCCTGAAGTGGTAAAATTGAAAGTCATCTTGCACTAGTACCCGAGGAAGTGGCTGCCACCATCCCTGGAGGGATTTAAGATGTTTGTAGATGTGGTGCTCAGGGACATGGTTTAGTGGTGCCCTTGGCAGTGTTGGGTTAATGGTTGGACTAAAGGCTTTTTCCAGCCTAAAAAATTCTGTGATTCTCTTGATCAGCATTGGGCCAGGCCTGACTGCTTGGTTTGGAAAGCTCAGGTTTGGATATTTCTCTTCTGGGCATCAAACCCCACTTTTATGTCTTTGAGATTGGTCAATGCCCAACTTCATGAACTGGGAGTCTGTGAAATTTCAACTGCCCTGCTTTTGGCATCACTTTGTATAATGGTGTGAATATTTGTCTCTTCTTTTTTTCCTAATTTATCGTGTGACTGAGCACACATGAGCTACGTGTGGCAGCTTCAGCTTTCCCTTGTCCCTGCTGACACCAAAGATGATTGATGGCAGAACTCTAAAACCTCATATGTTAGCCACCAACCTGAATAAACAAAGGCCAGTGTGGCAGCTTAATATTAAAAGCTATAAAACCTTCCTGGGGGTTCATGGATTAAATCAACTCACCGAAATGAATTTTCAAAAAAAAAAAAAAAAAAAAAACTTTCTCAGGACTGAAGAAAAACGAGCACAACGGTGAATGAAATAGAGCCATCCTCATCCAGCAGACTAAAGCCCTCCTGAGGGCTGAAGAATTGCAATTTTAAACATCCCTCAAGGGTGCAAGAGGAGACACACAGTATTTGTGGATCCTAGGGAGGCAGCTTGAGGCTATAAAAGAACAAAAAAGCCCTTTAAGGCACAAAAACCCCCACATATCCCTGCAGACATAGCTTTCATTGGTCAAAAATAAGTGCTAAAAAATAAAAACCTTCCATCATTAAAATGAGCATCCATCAGCCCACTTGGAGTTATAAGAAGTGATTTAGACTTTTGCCATGCACTATTTTAATCTCTTGGGTCAATAAACCTTGATAGTGACTTCAGCCAAAAATACCAGCAGGTTGTTCACCAGAACGTGGCAGGAAACAGCTGGGAACTTATTTTCATCATATTGTGATGCAATTACTAGTGAGCACAGCTGAAAGTGCCATATTTTGTCTTCTACAACAAATTGGAGTTGTATCCAAAAGGGCAGGTTTCACTGCAAAAAAAAAAAAAATGTGTCTTCTGTCTATAACAGAGTAAGGAATGAGCCCAAGCAGTGCTGCAGCTACCAGGGCTTGTTTCTCATTTTCTTTCTCCACTTTCAGCTGACCCCATAATATATCTCTATTTTTTAAAGCATAGCACAGATTTCTTCCTGGCTTTCCAAGAAACACCTCTGTCAAAAGGGAATGATCCCTTGCTGCTTTACAGAGTTAATAGCAAACATTACCAGCATTGTGAAAGCAGGTATTTAAAGGACAATTACAGGTTAAACTATTAAAAGCAGTGACCTGGTTTCAAGAAAACTGTCGCACAATTAGAACGTTCTTATTTCCCTCACACAGCTGTATTAAAATTTTTGTTGCCATCTACATATTGGCCAGGTGATCATGTAGGTCCTCTTACCCATGAAATAGATCTTTATTGTTCCAAATTTAGGAAATAAAAGCATTTTGCTGCTCTGGCCGCCTGTTTCTGGTCTCGTCTCACCAAGAATAAATGGAACATGTTGAATCAACTGAAATATATGTTTCTGCTCTATCAAGGTCCCCACCCAAACGAGCTGTTGGCTCAGAAAATATTTATCCTGGCAAAGCACCTAGGCATTACTTTGGAAGCCTTGATAGAAATAGTAGCATAAATTTATTGGCGTAGCTTTCAAAAACATAAATTTCGATCGCTGGCTTATAGACAGGCAGAGTTCAAACAAGGTTCCCTGTCTCACCTCTTTTTATTTTTTTTTTTCCTTTAGATTTGCATAGTGGCATCACTTCCTCGCAGTTCCCAAGGAAAGCCTCTAATTGCCCATTTGCATAAAGATTTGGCGATTTCTCTGCCGTGTCGGGGGGGATGACTCAGGGCGGAGAGAATTTTCCTAACGTTTCATCGGGATTGTTTTATCCCTCTTGTATTGATAATTGTTAACGCAGATTTTGGCAGGAGCTGCTTTTCCCGTGAGAGGGTGGCTGGGGGTGAGCTCCGAGCCGGGTTGTTCTCACGTGTTGGGAGCTTGTGTTGCTCCTTCCAGGCTGGAGCTGGGCCTTGGAACTCCTGCCTTCTCCAGGTTTTAAGGCTGAGGTTTTTTGGTTTGTGGTTGCAGTGGTAAGATTTCAGCGATTTGGGAACTAAAAATTAGCCCCAAATGGTGTTGGAGTGTAAACTATTGGGGGGAAAAAAAAGGATTCAATTCGAAAGTTTAAAGGTATTTTATGAGTTAATCTGCTATTGAGTCCCTTTGATCCTTTATTTACATATTCAGCTGCTAATCCAGAAAAACACCTAAGTCCTTGCTTAATTTGAATTAAGCAGTTAATCCTATTGGAAGTTAAGTACAGATGTGAGGCCCTGATTCAGCCAAGGACTAACAAGGAGTGTGAGCGTGTCCTGGGTGAGGGACTGACCTGAACCAGACTCTCTGGACTTATCCTGGCTCAAGACTCAGCAAAATCCAACCCTACTGGAGGGACACAAAGCACAACCCTTCCAGCTGATCCATCTTCACGTGACACTGTTTCCTCAACATCTGTGGAATAAGGTTAAGGACTAAAATGTCCTCCTCGTTTTGGGGTGAACATCTGGCCTCATAACAGGTCCAGGATGCTCAAACCTGTTTGTTGAAAGTCCTGTAGCCTCCATGAAGTTGAGGAAGACGCAAAGTGCAGTGAAAAGTAGTTGCATGATGAATTTAAAACAAACAAACACCAAACCAAATCCTTTAAGGCACCTGGAAGTTGAGAAATTTTGTAAAAAAAAGTTCCTGGGAAACAGGAATTCACCTTGCCTAAGGGGGCAAGGGACAAATGTCTCTCCAGTGACCTGGTTCGGATACCTAAGACAAAAAGAAAACTTCTATCAATTTGCAAAGTGTATATCTCTATAAATGCTTAATTAAGATGGATTTAAGAATGATTATTGCTTCTTCAGGCCACGTCCCAAGTAATGCCTTCCTGGGTTTTTTTCCATTATTTTTTTCCTCTCCATATATTTTTATTCTTATGTTTTCTTTTTCCTTTCTTTGTCTCTTTTACCTCTTCTTCTCCTTAGGAGTCTTTGCTGTTCTTTCTTCTCTCTCCTTCCTCTCCCTTGATAGCCCAATTCTGTGTTTACTTGGACTCCAATTTGGGCAAAAGAAGAGAAAAAAAAGGTTACTTTCCAGCATCTAAGAGTAACCATTTATATATAAATTTATTTTTGTTCTCTTACAGTTGATCAATGTACGAGAAGAATATGAAAAAATCCTTAAAGGGCTGATGCCAGCAGCCTCAAAAAAGGAACTTGAAGACACCATTTTATCTTTAAAATCTCAGGTAAATTCTTATTATTGTCCTTCAACTTTTTGGAGTGGATAAAAACCATCTGTTCTAGACAGGACATTATGACCATCTAAAATTTGGCCAAAAATACTGAATGAGTCTCAAAACCAAAATGTGGCAGCACTCACATGGTTCTCACTCAGTCATTTTTCACAAGGCTTTTCTCCTCCAGTTTCCTCACCTTGAGAGCTACCAGATTGTATCTTATCCCAGATTTTTTACAGGAAAAATTGTGTGATGTTCAGTATTATGGATTTATATCTCAACCTTTCAAATATAGCACACAGTTAACTTTCATCCTCCTTACCCTGTTTCTCCTGCAGGAATCACTTAACTGTTGCCTATAAAGGGTGCAGAAGAGGATTAGAAATAATTTTATTTTCTTTGCAGCCTATATAATAATACAAATGATATTTCTTATAAGATATTAGTCCAAATGTTCCTTGTGGTATTTCTGCATTTTCCTCTCCAAAGAGGCCCTAATAGACATCTGTAATGTTTTCTCTTTAATATTGCAAACCACAAGCTCTTCTAGAGTAATGCAGAATCAATGTGATTTATATGCAATAGACCATTAAACTGGCTAATAGGAATATCCAAATGTCACTGGAAATAGGGAACAGCTGATTAATTGGGTGTGTTTCTTGCACATGGTTCCCACAGAAGTTATTTTGTGCTTTTCTGCTCAGTGCATTGGGAGCTGGAAGAAAACAAAATGTCATCATTGCCTGACCTCACATGAGGAAGGATAAAGAGCAATAAAGAAGGGTGGTCATAGCTGGGGGATAATGGGAATCCAAGGAAAACACTGTAAGTGCTCACATATGGCTGGTGCAGGATTGTGCATTTCAGTGTGTTGGGAAGGACCAGGAGCTGGGATCTTTCCTGGTTGAAGGGAAGAACTGAGGGACAGAGCAGGGCTGGTGACTCAGAGCTGCCAGGAGCTGTGGGAAGAGCAGGAGCCCTGAGGACACACTGGACAAGTTTGGGCTCAGCACCAGCACACTCCTTATATCAATTTTCAGGACCATTCAAGAAATTATTGATCTATAAACTCTCCATTTCCCTTTCCTATGCAATGTCTCCCTGTGGAGATTTTTGGTAATTTAAAGTATTTGGGGTTTTCCCCTCCTTTTTTTTTTTTTCCTCTTTGCAACGCATAAGGGTTATTCCTTAGCAATTTTTGCTCTGCATGAGACACTTGCCCTGACAAAGGCCACCTTCAGTGGAAGTAGGAAATTTTCATAGTGGAAACTCAAATTTCCCTGTGCAAGTGGTGACACAACTTCAGCACTTTGGTTGTAAACACTCTTGCTTCCACCTCAAGGGATCCCTGCTGGAAGTGATGCTCTCTCTCATTTAAATAAGTTGTGGGAAATAAAGAGTTGATAGTAAAAAGGTATTTTTAAAGACTCTTTAAAAGGGGCTATTAGCACTGCCTGGTAGGAAGCATTACTCTGAGCTAACCCAAGAACACCACACCTTTTAATGAGTTAAAAAAAGGTAGAATCCGATATCCACCTGCAGGGCTTCTGTGAGAGCAGCAACAGCGTTTCAAAGGAGGTGAAAGTAACTCCACACACATTAAAAACCTGGGTGCTCTCCCAGAAATTCCTGGCTGCTGGCTGCGTTTCCAGCAGCACGCTGTCGTCGCAGACCACTCGGGGAGCTGGGCCCTCTCTGAAGCACAGGTGTCCTGCTCTTTGAAAATTGCTGGAATTCCTCTTTGAAAAAACATCAAGACAAGAAGGGCAGTGGAATCTCTGCACCTGTCAGGATTATTTATTGTTGGAGGAGGATGAAGAGGATGGGCTGGGTAAAGAGCACCGAGCGAGGGATAAAAATAAACAGGGGGGGGAAAAAAGAAAATACTTGAGGCTTGGGTGAAGTTTTCTGCAAATGTTGCTAAATATAAAGGAGGCTGCCTGGTTGTCTGCTCCTGGGGAGATGTCCAGCAGTGGATGCAGTGCATTAATAAACGTTCATTTTCCCACACTTGGAGAACAGGTGAGTACCTTTATCACAAGAGCAGAAAGGCAGGAATCAGAGAACAGGAATCACATGGGGGCTGAGAGGAGAACTGGAGCTCCCAAGCCCTTGCATAACCCATATGGTACCACCAGCTGGGTTTAACAACTGGTTTGACTCTGTTCCTAAAGGAGTAGACAGTGGGCAGCTGGAGCAGCACCAGAGAAGCCCTGAGAAGAGTCTTCTATCAAGTATTAGTTCTCCTGTGCAGCTACTGCATTTTATTTAGGCAGGAGAGACCAGAAAAAACACATTTTATGAAAGGAGAGCAAATATATTATCTGGAGTTTTGTGTCATATTTTCATGTGGGATGTGTTTTACAGGTAAGTTTTCTGCAGAAAAGAATCCTCCAGGAAGACCCGAACGCCTGACCCGCCAAAAAAAGTACGGGATTATCTTTGATCCATTTGTAGCATTTCACACCTGTGGATCCCACTTCTTGAAGTTTTACGGCTTAATTAAAACACTCCGACGTGGTTGCCGTTTGAAAAGATCCTTATTTTCAGTAAACAAGCATCTGAGAGCATTTTTTTCCCCCAGTGCTTAGTCAGGACCATTAGAGCAAGATTAGAGAACTTGCAGGTGCATTGCAAGTCTGGGCTTTGCCTCCACGTTCAGGATGAGGCAGTGGCTCGGAGCACAGCTGCAGCTCCGCGGTGATGCCACCTCCTTTTAAGATAGAAAACAATGATGCAATGCATAATATTACAGATCACATCTTCAAAGGGCCGGATCTCCACGAGCCCGAGGTTTTTTTTTTTTTTTCCAGACATTTACACCCTCCAATATAAATTATGGCAAGTGCTGCAGCCATAAAAAGCCTTGCTGTGCCTTTAGAGTGAGTGATTCACGTGGAGAGGTGAGTGCAAGGAAACTTCCTAGGAAAGCCACTCCATCTTTTATTATATTTATAGGCTTTGATGGTATTTCATATCTCACGTGAGGGTTTTCTTGTAAAAATACTGTGAACGTTTGTAAGCTGTTTAAACGACTGTGAAAATGTTAGAAGCGTGAAAGTTGTCTGAAAATATTAATCCTAAACTATTTGTTAACAGGAATTAGCTAGCTGGAAACTGAAAATGTCATAGATTCTTGGTAGTGAGTCCAGCATAGGTAACTTTGTTAGATAAATATAAAGCTCCAGGCCCGCTGCCCACTGGACCCAACTCTGCTTTCAGCCTGTTGTGTTTTTAGAGTAAAAGTAATAATAAGATGTAACTAACAAGAATCTCTTCCTTTTCAGGTGTCTGCTGAAACGGTGGAATCTCTTTGATTGCCAAATGGACTGCTTTGAATAGGTTTGAAGATTTGGCTCTTGTAAATTAAAATGCAAAGATTACTGGCTCTTTTGTTAGCACAGAAATTTTCATGAAGTTCATGAAAACATATTCATTGCTTGTGCCAGCATGGTTTTTGTTGTATCTTCCTTCCATTATTTTTCTATCATTATTTTATTACAGACTTATGCTTTTGATATAATTTGACTCCATGCTGAGCTCACTTACTGAGCAAGTAGACTTTGCTCTACTAATATTTTTGTTATTACTTCCCAATACCATTCTTTTCACTCCTAAACATGAAGAAAATCCCATTTTCTATTATTACCGTCCAAGATATTTTAACATATTTTGACATTGTTCTGTGTCCACGTGTTTACATAAGATTAAAATATTATTATTTTGTTATATTTTGTTTTGACATTATTGTCCTGTTCGGGCATCTCACTCACTCACCTCAGGAGCCACGGGAGCTTTGTATGGCTTTGTTAACTGGGAATATATGCTGTGTTTCAAGGGATAATCTTGGCACAAGGAGGAAAACACCATGATGACAAGGCAGGCCCTGCTGCCAGTTCTGTCTGTTGTTGGGGTTGTGTGCACTGGGCACAGGAAAGTCCTTCCTCAGTGATAACATGGGTGTTGTTGGAAAAGGGTTGGCCTTGGCTCTGTGTGGGCACGTGCCAGCTCTCCATGATGATCCCAGGAAATCTGAGTAGATTCCAGAGAGTTTGCTGGGAGGGGTTTTGATGAGATATGGAAAGCTGAAGGACCCTGACAGTCCTGGTAGCTGGCTCTGCCTCCCAGCCATGGAACAGCATCCTTATCTCCTGGCCATCCCTGAGCCAGAGTGTGCATTAGTCCATGTGGAATGTGTAAATTCAGATATGCCCAGCACAAGAACAGGTTTTTATTTCCTGGGCACCATCCTGCTGCCAGCATTTGGATCCAGGCACAGTGTTGGCCTGAGTGCTTGAGGTGGGGCCCAAAATTCCTGTCTCTGGCAGCAGTGGTGAGACCCTGTGTCTCCTCCCTCACCCCGGTGTCACCAGCACTCCCAATCCATGGTCCAGGCAGGATTCAGAGGGTCCTGCTCCCTGCAGTGCCCGGGCTGGAGGGGGCTGTCCCGCCAAGGCCCAGCTCACCAGCTGGGCTCTTATCTCCTCCTGGCACTGAGATCAATGAGGACAGGCTTTGGCAGGCTGGCTCCATCCACCCCACCTCCTGGCAGTGCCAGGGTGCTCCGTGCCAAACCCAGGCTCCAGCTTCTGGGTGCTTTGCTGGTTGTCAGCCCAGCCCAGGCCTGGGCAGGTTTTCCAGCTCCCTTAAATCAACAAGTGATTCTTCTAATTACAGATAAGGGGTTGTCAGGGCTCCTCTGATAAGGGAGGAGGTGCTGTGGCAGGTGCCACAAATCCTTGCCTGGGGAAATGGGGAGATCTAGGGGGAGGAATTTGGTGGGATGCATTTAGTTAATTGTGGGCAGTAAAAGGTTTTTACCCCAAAAGGTGCAGGGCAGTGGTTACCAGGGTCTGCAGGAGGAGCACCAGGAACTCCTGGGGCAGCAGGTTGAGGGCACTGGGATGTACCCACTGGGTACAGCCCTGTGTCCAAATGGGGACAGTGACAACTCCTCTCATGCATGAGGAAAACAAGGCATCTTTAATTCTGCTTCTCTGCTTGTGTTCTTCCATGATATTCAGGTGGTTCCAGTGCTTTCTAAGGCAATAAGGAGTTTACATCCATAAAGAAACATGTGGACCTTCTTCTAGCTGTTTGAATTCGGGCCTGGATTTCCTTCTTTTTGATGGAATTGAGTTGCTGATGTTGTTGGTGATCATAAAGCAGTTTGGGGAAAGTAGATGTTGGTCAATCAGGGAGTTTTAAAACTCTGAGAAACTCTGTCCAACATCAAATACAGCTTGAGGACCACTCTGAAGGTGCTTATGAACCTTGTAAGAACTCAAATATGAGGTTGGCTGGAGTTCTCTTGTAATGGTTGTTAATATTGCTCTGATCATTTTGGTAACAGGAGTTAAAGGCCAAACTGAAGGATTAGAAGGGTTTCCATACCTGTTCCTTGCTCTCTGCATCTCTTTTCCCCCACTCAGTAAGGAATTGCCACCTGTCAGGAGTTGGCTTCATTGTCCCTAAAACAGAGTCTGGCATAACCAGCTTGAGTGTGGTTGCAACTTCTTTTGTCCTTTTTATTTATTTCACCAGTTTTGCTCTGTGAGAGAAGATTGTTTTGTTCTCTATAAAGGAAAAGGCATCATAAACATTTTCCACCAGCACCAAGGGAGGTGACCCTTATCAAGGTGACACTTTATTTCGGTGCCACTCACAGTTCTTGTGTTACACATAACAAAAATGCTCCCTTTTGGTACAGCTGGAAGGAAAGGGATACAACTCCCTCCTTCTCCCAGCCCTCTGCTTGCAGCTACAACAGAGCTTTAATTGTGCTGGGGACAGCAGATACTCCTGGTGCTTGCCCAAATCTCCCCTGACTGGGGTGGTTTCAAACTCAGAAATGATTTTGCTGCACAGAAAGCAATTTTGTTGTGACTAGAAGGAAATATTTGTAATCACTAGAACATATTCCAGCCCTTTATTGCATTTTCTGACAAACACGCACAGCTTTGATTCCGATGCCGAGGGGTTTTGAGAGAGGGGGGGTGTGGGATCTGGTTTCTTTTTTTTTTTTTTTTTAAATTATCTTAGTGTACTGCAAGTCCTCCCCAAATCCCAAAATGGACTGGAGGCACCACACAACTGAATTATACTTGGTCCCTTTCGGAGGGTACAAAGGAAAAGTAAGATGTCAGATATTGTATGAGAAAGTTTCAGAACACAAGGTCATTTTAATTCAGGCTTTTTTTTCCAAGGAACTATCTTTTCCAAGCTTTGATAGTTTGTTCAAAAAGGTCATTTCTTTTAAGCCTTTGTCATTAAAGAAGACTTGTCCTTTAAAGTGCACTATCAAAGTGTGCAGAAATTGCAAGTTACTGAAACTAAAATGCACGATTTTAAGGCTGCCTACTAAAGCCCTCTTAAAATTAGATGTGCTCTGGTACTGGTGGCTTCTTTGATAAAGCCAGGGGGAGATATGCAGTTGGTCAATTCAAACTGAAAAAAAAAAATGATGATAATTAAATAAAACTTTTCCTCCCTTTTTTAGAAAAAAAAAATTGTGAAAAAGCACTGAAAGAACTGAATGAGGATCTGACCCCACAAAAGTCTTGTGTGAGAGGAAGAGGGAGTGTGCTGGGTTTGGGAGCAGTTTGCAGCACTTTTACACAGCGATTGTGCAGCTCTGTTATGTTATCTGGCATTTGTCATAATGTAAATAAGGCAAACCCCTGGATAAAATACCATTTATTTACCATTTGCTGCCACGAGTTGGTCTCTCCTTCACTGACAGAGAAGCAGGGAACAGCAAAGAGTGAAGACTTTGTGTGCCCTTGCTCTGCTGTCCCTCATCCCAATCTCTGCTCATCCCTTTATCCCCTGGACCTGACCATTGGCTACAGGCCATAAGGGCTCTGCTTCCTTCCAGGCATCCTTGGGAAAAGAGATATTTTCTTTCCTGATGGTTCTTCTAATGCTGTTGCTAGTAACAGGGAACTTTTAATTTTCCTTTCAACCCAAATATGTTCAATATTCAGGGCAGTATTTTCAGCAGAGCCTTGGGAAGATGGACACAGAGCTTCACACGAGGAGGATTTAGAGCTGTGACCTCCTTTGAGCATCTCTCTGAAGCAATTTTGTCTGCAGACCCAGGTCCCAACAGCCTGTTTGTTTTAAATGCTCCATAAACTTATAGTCTAGTGGACACAGAGATGTGCTTTATATATGTCAGGACATGCTTCAGACTTAGTACTTGGGACTGGAAACAGGGAAATGTGTGTTTGTAGAATGAGCAAAGGAAAGGGATACCTTTATCTCAGCTGGACAATGAAGTTATAACACAATACTTCCAACTTCATAACATCTATTCACCAGATTTATACTTTAGGAATCTTGTTCTTCTCCCATTGAAACCTGATACTGAAGTCATCTCAAAAGAAGGTTGTGGATCCTAATTCTGCCATTCTCTTATTCAAGCCAGACTAAGATGTGGTGGCTCAGTCCTGGGATCACAGGTGAACACTCTTTCCCCAGAGCAAGTGTTTTTAGGAAGGGACTCCTCAGCACTGACACTTCCTCTTTAAAGTCAGAGCCCATCTAAATCTCTCACCTGAATTTTATACAGTCAGTTTTCATGCAGTCAGACTCTAATTCTGCATCTAAGGGTGGTGGAAAAGCAGCCCTAAGAAAGCAAATGGCTCCATGTGGGTTTCATGAAGAGTCGGAGCCTGGATGTTTGCAGGGCTGTGTTTAATTGTGCTCAGGAATGATGTTACATCTTCTGAGACTTATCGACACTTGCTTGTCATCTTCTTCTTTGTTCATCCTTGTTGGGTGAGGTCACTGGCCGACTAATTTCAGTACAGATTTGAATCTATAATGAAAACTCTGAATGAAGACTCTGCTGCTCCACTCAGGAGATCCTGGAAGCATCCCCACAATCCGAGGTTTGCTCCCAGCACAGGTGGTGGCCCTGTGATGCTTCAGTGCCTTTGTTCAGGCCTTTGATGTGGTTCTTCCTGCAGCTCTGGGGGTGTCATAAACCACTGGGCTGCTTTGCTGCAGTTGGAAATATAAATACTGGGCACAGTAAAAATGGAACCAGGCACCTGCAACAGGGTCCAGCTCCCACCCCACACCCTGGCCAGGGAGCTTCCAGATCATGGACAAAAAGCTACAGGACAAACCAGCCAATTCCCACTGGGACAATTCCCACTGAACCTTCGGCCCTAATTCAGCAAAGCCCATGTGCAAACACTTAACCTTAAGCCTGCACTTAAGTCCAGGCCCAGCCCCATCCTCAGGTGTGCTGATAAACAGGCACCTTCTGGGGGGTTGAGCCCCACAACCAGGATGGATGGTTGGCTCCTGCCTTTAGTACAGACCTTATCTGAGCTGGTTTGTGCTCCTAAATATCTCCCTCAGAGCTTCTTTCTTCCCTGAACAGCAGTATTGCACATAGAGAATAATTTAGGTTGGAAAAGACCTTTAAGGTCATTGAATCCAAATGTATCTCTGCCTTTCCTGTCCAAAAACTCCTTCAGCACCCCTCGAGCTGCCTGTACAGCCTTCAGTGTCAGCAGCTCCAGCTTTGCTGTCGGGGGCTTAGAAAGGCCTGTGCAAACATCTTGTCTGCAAAGGATGACCCGAGGTCTCACCCCACGGTAAGTCACCGGGGTAGAATCAGCTTTCTGCGTGGAGTGGGTTTGTTTTTTGGTATTATATCGTGGTATGTTGGTGGAGTCGAATTATTTAACCTTTCTGATGGGTCTAGGAAGGGC